TCTTTTCCTGCTTTGACGAATATTCAAACCCAAAAAGTTATTGATTTTACCCATCATACTCATTTCGAATAGACTTTTCATGAGTTCCTCAAACTCCTTAGACAATGAAGGATCAGTCGAACCAAAAATATTGTCATCAACATAAATTTGAATGAGCATCAGATGATCCCATACTTTCTTTCGAAATAAATTATGATCAACGGATCCTTTTTTAAATTTAGCGATCTTCAAAAAAAATTGTCAGAGTTGCATACCAGGCACGTGGTGCTTGTTTCAACCTATAGGGTAAGGTTCCTTAACGATCTCCCCATCACATTTCTCCTCGACTGAACCCTCCTCAGACAATTCCCCTCCTCGCAATCCTTCCCTTGGTACTCTTTAGGGTTCTCTCCTGGATCCTCCTCGATCCATCCGTTGGATGCGATGGCAGGGTATTAGGGGTCTTCGTGGTGAAATCCGACAATCTGGTATGTACGAGGGTAGGGGTATAGGAGACACATAAAGGGTCTAGGTGAATGGTTCTATAGTATCCTAAAATACTCCTAGAGTATTTTAAACTATATGTTTGGTTCTTAGAGTTTCTTTGCGTATAGGGTTGGTAAGTTTTAGACTCGTTGTTCGCCATGACGGTTCCCAAACACATGTTGATCATATCCCGTATAAATATAGTTGATCAGGCTATATTTATCCCAGATATGATTACATAACTGTTTAGGCTTAACCGTAGTGTTTAACTCCTCTAAATACTTTTTATGTTTCTTATTACGACACTGTCCTAGTATGCATACATGTATGTATAATTTTTAGAAAAATACTATTATATTTTAAAAGTATACTTCTTAGTCGGAGTGTTTTAGCCCCATTGTATTTATAGTTGTATATCTTACATGGTTTGATATATTTAGTTCACTATAAACATTGCTCTGATACCAATATGTCACACCCCCAAACCAGAACGGCGGAAACGTCTAGGGGCGAATGACTTTCATGTACAGTATCATAACAATTGAATAGTAGCGATCAAAGCATTACAACCATTGTATTGAATATTTAATAAGTTTATATTGTACTCAAAAACATTGTTTACATGATATCAAATGCATATGACAAAAGTAAATAACGTGATGCGACGACGTCCCATCCACCAAAAGCTCTTGTGGTTACCTGTTTACTGATTTCCTGAGAATACAAGTGATTTTGAACAGTGTCAACAATTAAGTTGGTAAGTTCATAAGCGTTTTGTATGAGATGTAACTGTTTCATGTAAAATGAAAGTGTATTCTTCCAGAAAATCCAATATTTTCTTTAAAATGAACTGTGAGTCTTAATCCAAATACTAAAAAAAATGTAAGTAATGTCGTACTGAAAAGTCGTGTTATGAAGTTTTATCTTTATATGAAACTACTTGAGTGTATGTTAACCTTGTTGTAAGTCTTAAAATCCCAAGACTAAAAATGTAAGTAATGTTGTACTGGAAAGTAGTATTAGTAAGTTTTATCTTTATATAAAACTACTTGAATGTATGTTAACCTCGTTGTAAGTCTTAACCCAAGACTAAAATGTAAATAATGTTGTACTGGAAGGTAGTATTAATAAGTTTTATCTTTATATAAAACTACTTGAATGTATTTTAACCTCATTGTAAGTCTTAACCCAAGACTAAAATGTAAGTAATGCGGTATCGGAAAATAGTTTTAGTAAGATTTATCATTTGGTGAAACTATTTGAGTGTACGCTAGCCCGTAAACCAAATGTTTTGTTAATACCCTATGTGAGTTATTATAACCATACTAATGCGACTAGTTGCCTGAACGACGTGCTTCGGACGTCGGAACTGTTACGACATTTGTCACCCTAGACTGGTCGGTCTAACTGTATCTAACAGCTGAGGTGTGGGGTTGTCAATCCCGTATAGATCTATACACAAGTGTCATGCTCTCCCTACAAGAGACTTTGGTTATAATGCAGGTCTTAGTTGTGTACTCTGGTAGGTACGGTGAAGCCAAATGTCTCACAACCAGTATCAACCGGTTTACGTCTATTGTACTGAAAATTCGTTTTCTTGTAAATGAAATAATTATACCTTAAAATAATTATATGTTTCTTCTAAAATGAAAGAGTAGTTTTGTGACTCCCAAACTATAAACATTAATCATATATATAAATACATGTAAGTTATCATGTGTAGATGTTTTAAAAGATTATAACATATAAACTTACATCTAAACACAAGTATAAAAACATTTAGTATGATAAAGACAATTTCTAGTTTTTGACTTTTCTGATCATGTTTTTAGAATAATTATAGAAATATTATCGTAAGTAGAAATTTGGATCCGTCAACTCTCATAGCTTAGAAAATGAGTCTACATTGTCCATAATATTTTTCCATGACCTTAGGTGGTTCCTAACTAGAGTGAAAACGTTCATTTTTTACAGGTTGGTCCGAAAATGTTCTGAAATGATAGGCAGTTTTGTAAAAATCACCATAAATTGTAGAAAAATCTTATGAACGCGTGAGAGTAGTCCTTAAAAAGTTATAGACCTGGACTATTTACATATTGAACAGTTCTGAAATATATTAAGTTTAAGCAAGGCAAAACAGTCTGTGAATAGACCACAACTTTTCTGTAAAAAGCTGATTTTTAAGCTTAGATATGTTTTAGTGACATAACTTGTATTTTTAGTTTGCAAAGCCTTTAGATCATCCAAATAGGATTTGTTTACTTGAATCCCCCCCCCCCTAAAACTTGTAAAAAATCGAAAATGAAAGGATATGAACTCACCTTGAGTGGATTTCTTAGTGGATAAAGAGATGAAGATGAAGATCCTCAAGCTTAGAACACTTGAAGATGGTTGAAGAATACTTGAAGATGGTATTACCCTATGGATAATAACACATATAAAAATGTGTGTAAATGTAACAAAACTAGTATGAATGTGTGTAAAAACACTAGATTAACAAGGAAATGCTTACAAAAAAAGCTAAGAACCAACTTATGAAGAATTATCCTTGAAAGATTTGAGCTTGTTCTTGAGAGGAGAAATGGAGAAATGAAGAAAGATGAAGATGGTGAAATGAGAGAGGAAGGGGGGTTGGACGAAATTTATGGGGGAGGGGGAAGGAGAGTAGGGTGGGGTGGGGTGGGGTGAAGTGATGTTTGCTTGGTTGTATGGTGGTTAATACTTGGTTATATGTGGTGTAATACATGGATGTATGGTGGATAAGAGTTTTGTTGGGAGGAGGGGAAACATCATGTCTAGTTTATGGATTCCATAACCCACAAAGTCAACCCTCTTTATTTTATAAAAATCTAGTTAGTTTAGTGTGTCATTTTTTTATAAAAAGAGTGATATTTTATACAAAGTGTGATTACTAAATTTGAATCATAAAATTTCAAATTATCACAAAACCTCATTATCATCAAAGCAATTAGTATATCATGTTATGAATATTATTTTTGTCAAAATAATATATACTTGAATTATCGAATTCTGCGTCGTAAATCCTAAATAGGATTTTTATTCACTCATAATTTGTATTAACATTCATAAATTTGTCCATTAGAAATACTAGGAAACGTCGTGCTTATCCTAGAACCCTAATTCTAGCCGAGTTGACTTGGTTGACTTGTTGGCTTTGTTTGACCCAGAATTAACAGTTGTCACAGTCTATGGTGGTCCTACATGACAAATTCTCTAGGTGTTAAAGTGGCGTGACATTAAAATGTGACAAAAAATGGCTTTCGATTTGCGTGTCCAATTTCCGACGTCAAATATTTTTTCCGAAGCAGGCGAATGATAGATTTTAATTCAATGATTTCAAAAACCCGAACGGATTAATTTTTCGGGTCGTAGATCTCCGGGAAATCGTGTTCAAAAATTTGCATCTAATTAGTCCGACACGTCTGATTTTATTACTTTTATAAATATTTTTACTAAAACTATTTTAAGTATGAAATCAAATGTTAGACCGTAGTCTGAGTCCAAAAACGCTCTTGGAATTTCCACCCGAGGTATGAAAGTACCTCAACGAATTAAAACGGTTTATGCAGATCGTGTAAAATCAGTGTTATGTCGGTTTGGTTTCTTAAAACAGTCGGATCTTTTGCATACGAACTCCGTTTTGGACGTTTGTTATATTTCCGGACTCAGGTGTACTTATACAATGAGACCAGAGTGGTTGCTTCACTTACAAAATGTTTAATACAAAATTTCAGTTTTTTAGACGTATTAACTAGGGTTACAGTTTGTGTTTGTGATTTGTTTGGGATCTCCCGCAACGGGAAGTAAAGTAGCATTTCATATCTTGTTGTAATTATTGTGACACTATATATTGGCCAAAAAATTCATTATAACTCAATAGGTCAAGTTACAAAGAGGTTCGCGGTGAACTGACTGTTTACATATTTAGACCTAAATTCTGGGATGTCACGCCTACCTTATCTCTATCACTATCACTTATCTCTATCGCTATCAGGGACAAGCCAAAACCGTCTTTCAATTAATTAAAACCTTTTAATTATTTCCAAAATAATTTCCAATTTATTAATTACTAAATAAATTAACAATTTATCTTCCTTCATTTCCTTATTGGTAATTGTGTTATGAGGCCAACCCAAAATGACTCCATTATTATTAAAAATATTACCAAATTAATGTCCTTGGACATATATTCCAACACAAAATAGCTTGGTTTTGTTGATATTCAGTCCTCAATCCTAGCACCATAATGATGTCTAACGCTCTGTCCACATCCTCTAAATCTCCAATGACGGCCATTTCATCAATACAATATACATGAAGAAGAAGCTTTTAATTCTCTATAATATTATGTACAGTGGGTACAATACAAGAGTAAAAAGCAACGGTCCCAAAGGGTCGGCTTACTGAACCCTAATGGTTGACCATATATGTTTATCTTCCAAATACAACCCTGTTTCACGTCCATAAAAGATTTATACCCACAAAGAAATAATAGGGAACCTCATCCTGACCTCATGAAGTAAGTCTGATTTATCCACAAAATTAAAGCCACTTGAGAAAATTCACTATAATCATTGCTAGATCTATCGTCATGACGTTCACTCAACACCCTGTTAACATTATGTAATACGCCCTCAGCGCCAACCGACACGCTAACCCCAAATTAAAATCGTTAACATACTTTGAAATTTCGTTACCAACACCTTTAATGACAACCTTGGAAACCAGATGCCTCCATAGAGTGCCCATTACAAATTCTACCAAACTCAACGGACATATTCCCTCTAGCCACAAATTAATCATTGTGGTGATTGCACGTAAGATATATGTGGCTACAACAAACCCCTCTTCGGATAGAGCATCCAAAATGTGTTGTGCTCTCAAGCCCCCTCTCCTATATAAAGTTCTTTTAGGAAACAATTTAATACAACCATTAACATTGTCAATCTCCGTTACAAGGGGAGACTCGGAAAAAGATGGTGTTTGACATGGATGGGTGTCTTGTATGAATGTTTAGACTCCAAAGTTATAGTTGTATCACCACTGTATGTATGAAGCAACATCCGAGGAACATAAATTTTCAAAGTTTTACGGGCACGTTAATTTTTCTTGATGCATTAATAAGTCACTTTGATTTTCTTCCGTTTGTATTTTAGCTACTTATTTCTTTCTTATACATGTAGACAAAGGAAAGGTATATTGCGGAGACAAGGTGGATTACTTTGAGACCTAGTTTTGATTAGTTTCATTTGTGAATTGAAGCCCATTCTTATGTTTAGTGAGTAAATTTAATAAATTGGATAGAGCCTCCAAAATATCGATCAGAATCAGCCTGAATAATTCGAATGAGAACATCCGTCGTTGTTATATTATGAGCTTAATATATATTCCTATATTATTTTTTGAATTTATTAGTTTTAAGACTTAACACACATAATTTGCTCATGGCCCCAAAACGTCAAACAATATAAGCTTTATTACAGGCTTAATCTAGAAAACATGCTTTTTTAAACACAAGTTGATTTGAAAATATAAATTTTACGCGTAATTCACCCATGTTTTAAATAAAAATGATAAAAACAATAAAATAAACATTGATCAAAAGCAATTGTTCGAGCATTGCATGTATAACGCTTTACATGGATTAAAAACTCGTGAAACAGGGAATTTTGGGGGAAAAGCTACAGAATTTTGACGCGTGTACAGGTCCCTACACATTGAAACCCCCATGCATAAACCTTCCTTCACCTTCACTAGTACACACACAGCGATATTCATTCATTTGCACACTGCTATACCAATCACTCACTCGCATTTCAAGGTTTTTTTTTTCTCACAGATCCGAGAATCGCTCCTTCGCTTTTCCTCGAACTCAACGCTTTAATCTGAATCGCTCCATTTCAGGTCTTTTTATCACGATTTATGATGAAATTGTGTCGGGGATTTCTCAATTTTCTCAATTTTAGTTTTTTGAGTTTTGACCCATTGAATTTGTAGAATTTTCCGGGTCATCCCCTCTGCAACCTCGTAATTCTCCATCATTCGTCTGAATTTCAACATTTCTTCAATTTTTTTGTCTGATCCGGGTTTCACTTGGATTTCCATCCAATGCGTCCACGTTATGATTGAAATATCTTTGGAATTGGGGATCTCGAAGCGTTATGTGTAGGTTCATATCTGTTGGTTCATTTTAGTGAATCTAGGGTTTTGATCGGAAGGATTAACGATTCAAGCTGTTCCACTTTAAACATTCATTATGGAATTGGGAACTTTGGGGGTTTCAAGGTATGAATCACCTTTTCATTTAGAGATTCATGTATACATTTTATCTAAATGACTTGATTGTTCTTAGGAGAATGCCTATGGGATCACAGACGTAGTTCCAAACTGATTAGAATTTGCGTATGGTATCCATTGAGGGTCTGAAGTGAAATCAAGTTTCCTGTTCGGAAACAGGAAACTACAAATTCGAGTTATCATGGGATGCATGTGCTCCAAAGGAGTTTCACCTAACGAATATTCACACAAACACCCTAAGAAATCATCAAAACGGTGGTTTAGTTCTTCAAGAAGGGGTGAAGTAGTGGTGGAGGTTGATAATGGTTGCAATGGTGCTAGTGCTACTACTCGGCTTATACCAGAGGATAATGAAGAAAATGTAGCAGCTTCAGCACTAACATTGTGGAATGATGATGATGGTGAGAAGAAGAATGTAGCCTCTCAGAAGTCAAACATGCAATTAATTCAAAGACCCGAGAAGATTATTGAGGGGAATGGAGGAGGAGTACATGTACATCAGCCTGGAAGTTACAAAATATATAGCATCAGATATGGAGTTGATGAAGTGCAAGCTGCTGGTGGATGGCCACCATGGCTGACTGCTGTAGCAGGGGATGCAATTAAAGGGTTGTTACCAAGAAAAGCAGAGTCTTTTCAGAAAATGGACAAGGTCTGAATTCTGAAACCCTTCTCTCTTCTCTTCTTTACTTTAAATTATCCCTGAAAATACTACATTCTTTTATCTTATATGAGTTTATTGCAGATTGGACAGGGGACATACAGCAGTGTGTACAGAGCACGTGACCTTGAAACTGGGAAAATCGTTGCACTAAAGAAAGTAAGGTTTTTAAACAAAGATCCAGAAAGTGTTCGGTTTATGGCTAGAGAGATAAATGTTCTTCGTAAGCTGGATCATCCAAATGTGATGAAGCTTGAAGGTTTAGTCACATCAAGAATGTCAGATAATCTTTATCTTGTGTTTGAGTACATGGAGCATGATCTTGCTGGGCTTTCAGCTTCCCCAATGATTGAACTTACTGAATCACAGGTATCTTATATTTGAGTACAAGAAATAGCAATTATAATTCGGTAGAAATAAATCAATAAATGAAATCATTCTTGCAGATAAAATGTTACATGCAGCAGTTGCTTCGTGGGCTTGAACATTGTCATAATCGTGGGGTCCTCCATCGTGACATTAAGGGATCAAATCTTTTAATTGACAACAATGGGAATCTTAAAATCGGTGATTTTGGGTTAGCAACTTCTTTTTGCATCAATCAAAATAATAAACAGCCATTAACAAGTCGAGTTGTTACTCTGTGGTATCGACCTCCTGAGCTTTTACTTGGAGCTACAGATTATGGAGTTGGTGTTGACTTGTGGAGTGCTGGTTGCATTCTTGCAGAACTTTTTGTTGGCAAGCCCATAATGCCCGGAAGGACAGAGGTACTTTTATTCATTACAATCGAAGGGTATTTTAGACATTTCATCACCCTTTTCAATTTCCAACACATTAGGTACACCATATTTTGTACCAAAATCATTGAAACTAGGAAAACACGGGTGAAAGTTTAGTGGCAAAAATATAAAGAGTAAAAATAAAGTGTCAAAATTATAAAACGGAAAAGTTTGTTGAAATTTTAGTGGCAAAATTAGTAAAAATAAAGTATCAAAACTATAAAGAGAAAAAGTTTGTTGAAACTTTAATGGCAAAATTATAAAAAAATAAAAATAAAGTGGTAAAATTATCAAAGAATAAAGAAAAAGGGTTTTAAAGAAGTAAAAATGAAAGTTTAGTGGCAAAAATATGAAGAAGTAAAAATAAAGTGGCAAAATTATAAAAAGAAAAAGTTTATTGAAACTTTAATGGCAAAATTAAGAAAAACTAAAAATAGTGTTAAATTTATAAAGATGTAAATGTTACCGTTAAAGAATAAAGAAAAAGGGTTTTAAAGAAGTAAAAATGAAAATTTAGTGACAAAAATATGAAGAAGTAAAAATAAAGTGGCAAAATTATAAAAAGAAAAAGTTTGTTGAAACTTTAACGGCAAAATTAAAAAAAACTAAAAATATAGTGTTAAAATTATAAAGATGTAAATGTTACTGTTAAAATGCGTCATGCGCTTATATATATATTTATATATATATATATATATATATATATATATATATATATATATATAATGATGGTTATATTTGGTACAAACAGTAATTGCTTTCCAATCCATTACACATTTTTAACACCAAAAGGAATATTTTGGGTATATGTATTTTTTTTTCTTTCTAAAACAACCCTTGTTTATTAGTTTCTTTACATATTAGACCCACCTCCTTTGTTACAATAACTTTATATATTATATTATGAAACAATTATAATCAAAACAAACCATTCGTATATAATTTGTTATCTTAATATTAAAATAATCATCTAAATAATTTTGAAACATAAAAGTTAAAACATATTGCTATTGCATATTAGTAAATAAATTTTAAACATAAAGATTAATGTTTAGTATAAGTAAGTATGTAACAGTTTAATATCAATATACTATATGATATAACGTAACAAGTAATGTCACAAAGTAAAATCTTTTATTTTTTATTTTGGTTTTGGTGATGAAGATTATTTGTGTAAACTATTTACAGGTGGAACAAATGCATAAAATATTTAAACTTTGTGGTTCACCATGTGAAGAATATTGGAGAAAATCAAAGTTGCCTCATGCCACTATTTTTAAACCAAAACATCCTTATAAACGATGTTTGGGAGAAACATTTAAAGACTTGCCTCCATCTGCTTTGAATCTTTTGGATTCCCTTCTTGCAGTTGAACCCAATAATCGTGGATCCACTTCTTCTGCACTTCAAAGTGAGGTACAGTTGACCAGTTGACCTAAAATCTTCACTAAACTACAATTTTCATCCCTGTGTTTACTTGATTTTTTCAGTTTCAGTCCTAAAATGAATCCTTTTTCTTTTTCTTTTTTGACCCTATTCAACTGTTTCATAATGTTTTTTCTCCCTCTCACTAACAACATCCCTATAGAAAAAACGTTAGGAAATAATGAAATAGGGACCAAAATGTAGCTTACTCAAATTTTTATATAATGTTTTATTTAATATTCAATGTAGTTCTTTACAACCAAGCCACTTCCGTGTGATCCTTCAAGTTTACCAAAATACCCTCCAAGTAAAGAATATGATGTGAAGCTACGAAATGATGAAAAAAGAAGGTAAATATCATTTCATTTCATTTAACCAAACAGATGAAGATCCATGTTGACTTTTTTTTTTAAATTTTTTTTTTTTTTTTGGTTGACAGGAACAAATTCGGTTCTACAAAAGCACGAGGATCAGAATCTTCTAGAAAAGATAGAATAAAATCAAGACCTTTTCCAGCACCCTATGCAAGAGAACAACAACAACAACATCAAAAACCTCATCATCATAGTAGTAATGTTAAAAACAGTCCTGAAGATACAGATAATCTCCATGATTATAATAAACACCACAAGGGATCCAATTTATCCAAATTTTCAAATTCACATTCAGGAAAATATCACCATATAAACAATGCTGAATCATCTTGCAAGAAGCGTGAAAATCCCCCTGGAAAGGTATCTAAAACATCTCCCCTTTATCAAATCGTATGTATATATACATTAATGTGTAACTAGGGCTAGGTTCAAATGAGAATTACACAAATGTTTGATCATTTTGAATCCGAAAGCCCTGATTTGAGATTTTTGATATTATTACACGTCAATTAAGGAACATTCTTTGAAAATCTAACCCTTGTTTTGGGAAAATATTACAACATTTGATTATTTTGATCGAGGGTTGAGATCACTTCCCACAATTCTCAACTTTTTTGCAGATCTCATTTGAACATAAACCCTATGTTATGTATGTGTGTATTTATGCTATGAATATAAGGAATAGTGATTAAGTACATGTATGTGGTGTATACAAGCTTGTATATAAAACATGTTTGTACAATGTGACAGGGATCGAGATCATGCATCATGTTACATGGGAGACCTATTGGTATTTAACCATAAGTAAGAGGGTAAAAAGTGTAAAATTAAGACATTCTGAAGTCATAATAACATAACCACCCTCATTTTTTCCCCTATAGTAAGTAAGTAAGAGGATTTGATTTATTGAATTTGTTTTGATGGCAGGGTTATGCTCCAAAGGAAACCCGGATCCATTACTCTGGGCCATTACTTCCACCTGGTGGCAATATGGAAGAAATGCTCAAAGAGCATGAAAAACATATTCAACATGCTGTGAGAAGGGCTCGTTTTGACAACAAGTATAGTAAAAGGGGGTATCATGAAAATTACAAAAATGATCAAAGGGAATTGTTACTTCAGTAAAGTTTCCGATGTGCCCTATTGTTCTATGCAATTTTGGTCAGGATTCGGGACTTCAAGTTTGAAGAGAAACAAGTTTTTTTAGAGTTTGTACAGATTTTACACGAAAGGTTATACTTGAGAGATATTCATGTAAATAATGAATGGGAGAATGCCCTAATGAGTAAATAAAGAGTATAGTGATTCATGGTTTACAAAGAACTATCATGAAAAGTGTTCTAGAGAGGTTTATTATTAGTTTAAGTATGAAGTTTACAATTACATTGAGATTTTATATATAGAGCAGTAGCAGTGATGATCAGGTCCAAAAGTAATCAGTCTCCACAACTAAAAGTGTTTTTTTTTTAAATGAGACTTGAATCTTCAACATTTTCTACAACTCAACAAATATGTATTTTTAGAATGGTCAACTGAACTTGTAACCATTGGCTAATGGACGCCTACAACACATGATATCGAAGGATCATAAATTCACATTGGTTGATCTTAAAATAATATTAGTCATTTCTAATCCTTGCAATCAATTCTAATCCTTAATTTGTAACCCTAACCTAAATGGTAAATCTAAAAGGAGATTTCGAAACCAAAAACGATCCATGGTGGAAGGTGGTCGACTATAATGAGAGTAAAATTCACATGTTGATCCTACAAATTAACTCTACATGTTAAGCCAAATCATTAACCTATCTCTCTGTCTCTCATAATCTTAATTGAATATTAATTAGGGATA